AAAGTTTTGGAAAATTTTTAGTCCAATTTTTATCACTGAAAAAGGGTAACGATGATAGCTACCGATCATAATCTTTCACTACCAATGGTCTTAGGCGAGGTAAAAAAGAAATCGATGTAATATTTCTAAGGAAAAAATAGTGAATTTCGTATCGTATGAACACATGAATGGTACTAACATCACAAACAATATCATTAGTTTCTGAAACATAAGGGCATTAACGTCTTTTCACAAACTTGGAGGGACTCAAAATTGGCCTTGGAACTTTTGAGTGGTACCTAAAATACAGTGGCTCAATAGATTTGTCTTCTTGGGTGGTAGTAAGATGCGTTCACAATCACATGATATGATATTGGAATTGGAATGAACAATCATTCCACTCTACAGTAGGGCCCATACAATTCCCACCATTCACGCCACTGATTGCATTTCAAAATCAAACTTTATATTAATTTAATATTTTCACTAAAAAGCACGTTCAAACTAAGTACACCCAAAACCACATGGCCTTCTATCTAATCATATCAATTATCAACGTCCCTTCTATTTTCTTCAACCACCCAAATGTAGGGCCATGATTGATTTTCAATCTCCTTTTTGGTCAAAATTTTATGAGTGAACGACATGTTACCACCCAAAGTTTAGCTAAACTTTGTACCACCCCTAGTATCATAAATTTCAGATTACTACCCTTAAATTATCACGATTTATGATTTTTGGATTAGATAACAATATAGATACTGTTATTACCAAACTGCCCATAAAAATAAATTAAAAACTATTTTTTAAACCCCAGATTTTTTAGGCCGATTTAGCCGTTTCCCGGAGCCGGCGATCTTCCCCAACACCACCACAGCATCCTTGTCCATCCACCACCAAAACCTCACCCTCTTCTCGCGAATTCACCTACCATCACCTCCGTCATTCTCCCAACTGCAAGTTTGGAGAAGTTTGGTTTGTTTGATTGTGGAGTTGATTTGATTGATAGATTTTGGAGATATGGAGGAATATTGATAATTGATTGTGTGTAGTTTTGAGAGGTTTAGATTGATTGTGAGTTATTGATGTAAATTTTTGGAATTTCTGTCATTCCTAGCTCATTCAAGCAGCTTTCTAGCTTAGACGCACACCAAGTGCTCAACGAAACGCCCCACCCATTGGGCACAAAAGGAAGGCCGGTGGACGGCAAACGGTGAGTGAGGGGAGCTGATGTGGGGACGATTTTTGAAGAGGGGAGAATGGGGGGTCCAATGGAGGTGGTTGGATGAATTTCCAATGAGTAAGACGATAGAAAAATGGCTACAAAGAAGGAGGTTTGAGAAGTCGAACGCCCCCACTGGGCACAAAAGAAAGGTCAGCGGACCAAAACGGTGAGTGAGGGAAGCTGATGTTAGGGTGGGTTTTGAAGAGGGGAGAATGAGGTTTGAATTGAGGTGGTTGGATGAATTTCTGATGAGTGAGGCGATCGGAAAATGGCTACAAAGATGGAGGTTTGCGAAGTCAAATGGTAGCCGTTTTCCCGTGAATGGAGGGTGGGGAAAGGTGAGGAGGAAGCAAGGAAGAGGGAAGGGGCTGTTTTAGGTGGAAAAGTAGCCAGAAAAAGGCTAAAAACGATGGCAATGACATTTGCTAATGTGCGCCGCCCTTGCTAAAATGTGTCAGCCACCCATCCTTTGGTTTCAAGAATAAAATGACCATTTTACCCTTTAGTTGTTAGCTTAAATGATTTCCTGTTAATTTAAGGGTGAGAATTTAGAATTTATGAAACCATGGGTGCAAACCTAGATTTTGTGGAACCTTGGGTGGGAAGATGTCGTTTACTCAAATTTTATTAATCCTATGGATGACTTTTGTTGTCACTTCAGAAAAATGATTAGCTTCTTTTGAATCATGAAAAAAATAAATTATTTTTAATACTTTAAAAATTGTTTTCATAAATAGAAAACAAAGTGTTAATTTAATCCGTACTAAGATGCCGGAAGTCTCAAACATTTTTGTAATTTTTAAAATTTATTAAATACCTCTTATAAATATAAAAAGGAAACCCTAAATAAAGGTGAATTAATAATTTTCAAAAATTGTTGAAATATTTAAAACTAAACGATCTCTTAAAAGAAGTAATTTTTTGTTTTTGAAAACAAGAAATACAACAAATATTATGAAAACGTGTTTGATGGAATTAATCGAATTGTTTTTTAAAACAATTTTCAAATACAATCCTAAAGTTAGTGTAAAATTAGAAAATAATCAAAAGCTATTTTACAGTTTTCTATAACTTTTGATACGAAAACAATTTTTAAATATTATATCAAACACATTTTCAAAATATTAAAATACAACTAAAATTTTTTTAATCCTACTTTAGTTTTTGAAAATTATTTTTAGATCACAAACCAACTAAATTATAATCCAATAAACTAAATTTTCTAAGTTCACTGTATTTGTAGAATTATCTTTGAAAAAATAAAGTACTTATTAGCTTTTTATTGTTTCATAAATTTGTTACGAGTAAATTTAATTTATTTTTTAAATTAATAAATATTGTAATAATGTTTATCAAGCACTTATTACATATTGTTTAGAAGAAGCCAGGCTATTTACAAATCACACCCAATAGAACCTCTTCTACTAAGTAAACGCATAATTAAATATCTTTAAATAATTTCTTTAGCAATTTTTACAAAATCTGTTATTTTTGCTACGTTTTCTGTTTAATTAAGCGTTAATATACTAGCTTTTTGTTGAAATTGTAAATATAGGTGATGTAAATATTTTTATTCTAATTAGTATATCTTAATTGAGGGTAAAAATATTGTATATTTAATTAATTTAAAAACAATAAATATAAATTTTCCTTTTTTTCAAAATATGTTTCAAGAAAAACTTTTCAAAACTATATAAAAAATAAGAAACGAACAATATGTTTAATATTGAATTGTACAACTAAATTATATAAATAGATAAAAAAATAAATGATAAAATAATTATTTTATATCAATTTTGTTTGTTTATATAATTTAATGTAAACAAATCGTTATTGATGAAAAATGATTTGCTTATAAAGTTGGAGATGTATCGAGAACGATGAATCTGTGAACACAGAAGAAAAGCAAGATATTATAATTATAAAAATATTAATATAATTGAAGACTTTGCCGCTTTTGTCTGATTAAAAACACCACGTGTCATTAATTGTCCTTACCACTCTTCTGCCCAGAGCGTGAATCACCTTTACTATTTGATCTATAGTGTATATAATATTGGATGATTTTAACTTATGTGTGGCACATATAATAAGATAAAAAAGAAATTCAAATTTTAATAATATTAATACATCAAAAAAGTATTTGTTTTATTTATTCTTATTGGTAATATGCATTGATGTTCCAACTGTTTTTATTGTGATCTTAAGAACATATATTAATAAACCTCTATTTTATAAATTTAATAGTTTTACTAAGAAATATATTTACACCTTCAATATATGAGATAAGTGTCAAAAAATGATAAGTATGTCCTCACAATGAAAACTAATAAGAATTACTATTAGGACATGGTTTTAACGTTTCAAAAAGATTAATTGAGATATGTGTAAATTATTTAGACTCGATGATTAAAAATAAAAATACCCATCTCCAGTGGTCTCATACCTAGAAGTACGCATATTTCTTTTTGTTTTTTTAAATTGAAGAATATTTCTTTTTTATTTATTTATGAGGGAGGTTTCCACCCTCACCCCATCCTCGATTCCAAAGATATAACAATAATTCTGTCTCCAATATAACTGTTAATTATTTCTTAGCTTATACTTGCAACAAGTACTTGACAGTGGGTGTTGGGTTTAATTGGAGTTTAGTATGAAAATAACAGTGTAGCAGAAGCAGTAGCGCCCAGCCTCGCGTGGGATAATGGCCATTTCCCAACTTACACTATTTATTTTATTTTGATTGAAAGTCAATTGCGGGGTTTCATTTCATTGCATAATTAAAGTTACCATCTCTCGTGAAATCTTTTACAAAATGTATTTATTCGAAAAAAAGAAGTTATATCATATATGGACAAAATGTTTACATTTTTAACACACCATCAAAAGCTAGCAACTATTTACAATTTGGCAGCTTCAGAATGTCCGTACTATGGATAACACATAGTGGCTAATCCTATCCAAATCTGAGATGGTTGAAGAGTTGAATCAATTGGTTAAAGATTCCATTCCACCCCAATAAATGGAAGGAAGACGACTCACACAACACCTGCTAACTCTTATTATGAATTATATCATCTAACTATTTATTCTATACTCAATCAATTGGTCCACTAGTAGTTGTGAGATTTTTATTAATTAAATGTTAAATTTGGGATGCATATAAATAAATGAATAGACGGGTAGTCCTCGGCATTTACAAATGCTAAAGTGTAAGTCTCATAAAGAAGTTCAGTTGTTGATTTTTTACTTTTATGTGGGACCAATTCTTAAAATAAATTAAAGTGGGTCCAATCTAAATGATGAGAAATGGGTTACATTTATATTTTACCAATTTTAGCTTCCAACTCTCTTCAACCATGGAGCCATGCCTTAATAGTTTAGTCATTTACTTACTTTAAAGTGTGAATGCTAAATCTATTCACATTTTTAAGTGGGTTTGCCAATATCAATTGCTAACTTACTATATAGATATATATTAATTAAGAGATCTCTTTCAAAAACATTTAGGGTTGGTTTCAAAATATACTAACAACACTGAGTGTGACAATTGTTGGCTTTCTTTGTATTTTAAAACTATTCCAGGAGTGTTAAGGAATCCATTCTAACCAAATGTGTCTAAATAAAAAATTATATTAAAATTCTATTCAAAGGGATACATCTGATGAAAGCACGCTCTACCTACTCTTTACCTGAGAGAATTTTACAATAACATTTAAAATAATTTCAACTCATTTTAACCTAATATTATTAAGAGAAACTATATTTTATTTATAAAACCAGAACATGGATACTTTTGAGGTCCTAGAATGGAAATAAAAAACGCTCCGTGATTCCCTGCATAAACAGACGTGCTAACCTTGATGATGATTTCTGTTGCTGGCCCATCTCTTCTTCTTTCACTTCACTTCTTCTTCTTCAACAACAACAACTAAAACTACCTCCCTTTCTCTTCCCTCTTTTCTTCTTTAAGCTCTAAACTTACCCCCTTCTCCTTTTCTCCTCCATTTACCAAACCATATTTGTCCTCTTCATACTCTATTTTCCCCTCTTCACCCCTTGGCCTTTCACTTTTTCTGACCATCAATCTTCACTGTGAAGTGGGTTTTGGCTTATTCTCTCAGTTCTTGACAACAACTAAGCTTCTGTGCTTCAGTAAACCCAGGTAACTAACTCTCCAAATTCAAATTTTTGGTGACAAAAATTTGAACTTTTGATGTTTTTGAGGATTATGTTTCATTTGCTTTGTGTGTTTGCATTATTTTAGTATCTTATTGTATAATTAGGGTGTTACTCAAGATTTAGACAAAATGAGCTTTTTGTTACAGTTGCACTGGTATAAAATTTCTAATTGTTTTTGCTTTCTGGGTTAGCAGCAGAACTGGCAATTTATTGGATGGTTTATTTTTATATTTATTTTCTTATTGTGTTTGAATCAGTTTTTAGCATAGTTTAAATTTTGGCATCTTATTAGTGGTAACTTGTTCTTGAAGACTGTCTCTCTCCGTGTCTTTCATATCTCATGCTGGACGGTTTTATTGTCGTTGGTACATCATTGTTGATTCTTTGAGGATTTTTATTTTAAAAATTCTCAAGGCTCAATTTAGAATTTTGAGTTTAGGTCCTATCGCCTTGTCTTGTCTCTTTCTCTTTCTCTCTTTCACCCAACACACTCACTTAATTAGCAGCTGCTGTTATTGTTTATTGTTTTTATTAAAAAAATTAGTATTAGGCTGAGGAGCAGTACTGGTTTGTCTCTTTTGCTTGGTTTATTTTGTTTGATTTTTGGATTAGATTTTGATTTGGTGGTCTTAATTGTCTTAGAATAAGGCCTGCTGAATACAATTTTATCCTTCATGGGTACAATGACTGCAACTTCTGCGATGTCCATGACTCGAGATGCGTCAAATTATGATGAGTTTTCTATGCAGCAGAGCTTGCTCTTCTCTGATAGTCTCAAGGTATGACACTATTGTTTTAACAAAATATTCCATCTTTACATCATCAAAATTTGAACCCAATTCACCTTTTAAAGAAAAGTAACAGCAAAGGTGCGAAGTAAGGGCTTGTATTTCCAAAATTAATTCTTGTTAAATCTTATGCTACTTGTTTTTATGATTGAAGTGGTGGAGAGTGTCATATTCAACTTATTCTCTGAATTTTTCGACAAGCCTTGTAGACAGATAACCATTTATCTGTATGCATAATGAATGCAAATTAACCAATTTGTCATAGATTAGTCAGCTTTAATAAAACTTACGCTGAGGTTCTGTATTGTAATTCATTTATTTGCTCTATTTCTTTCAGGATTTGAAAAACCTGAGAACACAGTTATACTCAGCAGCTGAGTATTTTGAGCTATCTTACACCAATGACGATCAAAAACAACTGTGAGTTACTTTAATAACAGCTGATGTTTTCAACCATGAGATTAATTTCCTTTCAATCCCTCTTGCCCTCTCTTTTTATTTGAACAATCTACTCTGTGTGCAGAGTGGTAGAAACATTGAAAGATTATGCCATCAAAGCACTTGTGAATACAGTGGACCATTTAGGTTCTGTGACTTACAAGGTTAATGATCTCTTAGATGAAAAGGTTGATGAAGTCTCATGTACGGAGCTCCGGATATCTTGCATTGAGCAGGTATGCTGAATTCTACTATAGATTTGTCAAAATTATTATGAGTCTAGATTCTGCTATCATTGAGATCTGAAAGAAAAAAAAATTACATTGATGATTCTTTATCAAAAGCATCAAGTAACAATCTATTGGTCAGTGCTGAATTTAAAATAAAATCTTCAACAAGGTTAGAATCATTAGTAAGGAAATTCAACAGATGAGTAGAAGTCAATCTTTCTCGAGGGTGGATGATGGTTTGTTTCTAATAGGCAGTTCTTTGTATCATGTTAGTTAGGAGAACAAATGGGGTACCAAACCATATTTACTATCACTGAATACTGTATAATCTCAAGTGTTAAACTGAATTATACCTGGATCAGATGAAACACAACTGGATACACGCACATTTATATATCAAGGCTTTGCTGTTAGATTTACATGATCGTACCATGCATCCTAACCGATGGCGAACCCTTCAATTTTGGACTTGAGATCTGGACATAAAATTGCTATCAAATCTTAAGTAGATATGGCTTGTATATTCTGCTGGGAAGGACTGTTCGTTTTACTGTGATTTTCAGTTTTGAGCGCTGATATTACTGGATATTGTGCATGCATTGCATTCTAGCCAATATGCAAATTATGTCTTTGTCTTTGATTTGAGGCAAGCGAAATTAACCCCGAGCTTTGTCATTCTTTTTTCTGTTGTGTGTCATTTTAGAGACTTCGGACATGCCAAGAGTATATTGATCATGAAGGCGTTTCCCAGCAGTCACTGGTGATAAATACTCCAAAGTATCATAAGCGGTACATTCTGCCAGGTAGTCATACTTCTCTCTTTGCCCCTTTCGCTTTTACCCCAATAAACGTTATAAGTTATTCTGTTTTCTTTTTGTAAACTTTGTTCTTCTTGTTAGCTATAGAGTTAAACATGTTTTGATGTTATGATAGCTTAAATTTGTGCTCAGTTGGGGAGACCATGCAGAGTGCCAACGGGACCAAGTCAAAGTACCTGGGATGCAGCCTAGATGATGAAGACGACTGGCATCAATTTAGAAATGGTAGTAAGCTTTATTTCCCATCCTTATCATATATCATGTTACAAGCAAGACTATAATGTGATTTGATCCTAATTTGATTGCTTTCTCAAAGCTGTCCGAGCCACACTTAGAGAGACCCCAAGAGAAACCCCTAGATCTTCAGTTAGGTAAAATTTACAGTTATGTTTTACATTGCATCACTTAACTAGAACCACTGCAATTGACCGTGGTATGTGGAGTGTGATGATAAATGATATCTCATTCAGGAAAGGGCGTTCTCCCTCACCTTCACCACGACCTCCACAGCGATCTGGAACTTTTTCCTTTACTTCTACCATGCCCAAAAAGGATCTAGGTGCATGTGCAATTTGAATTGTGTCATGTTTTTGCTTGAAAATCTTTGGTATGTAATCATTGTTGTCTATCGATGTTCAACTAATGGTTTCTTATACTTCAGAGAAACGAACAGTGTCACCACATCGGTTTCCACTTTTACGTTCTGGTTCTGTCTCAAGTAGGCCAACAACTCCAAGTGCTAGAAGGCCAACCACCCCAAATTCAAGTAGGCCGACTACTCCAAATGCTTCTGATGCAAGACGACGGGTGAGCACAGGATATACTTTAATCTTTCATAAATAAGTTCAATACGACGTGCAAACTAATAGGGCTATAAATTTTATTTCTCTGCCTTTTTTTAATGTTATCAGAAAACATTTATTGTTTTACTGCTTCCTTTTCCATGCAAAACCTGTGAGCTAAAACCTTGGGATTCTCTCTTCTATCCTGCAGTACCCTTCAGAGCCTCGAAAATCATATTCGATGCGCCTACCAGCTGAGAGAGATAACTCTAAAGAAATGGAACAATACCCTAGCAAAAGTAAGCGTCTTCTCAAGGCATTGCTTAGTAGGCGCAAATCAAAGAAAGATGACATGCTATATACTTACTTGGATGAATACTGATTAAAAATACAAGACAAGGATAAATAGAAAAATCGAAACTAGACGCATAAGGGGTCAACGAAACAGTGAACAACCATGCTTGCACTTTCTACTCTTCCCTTTGAAAGTTTTTATTTTTTTTGTTGCTTGTAGTTATATATTTTTTTTCATGTATTGCAAGGAACATATTGAAAATTTTCATTTACCATTATTTTCCAGTCATCAATTGCTGGTACTTCACTATGCAAATTATAGTGCTACCTACCCGTGTGAATTCTTCTTAGGTTAGTGTAATAGAAACTGTTGATTCTATCACTTTCTAGAATAATTACCAATCTTGTTTCTGTCAAAGTCCAAGCCTTTGGAGGTCCAGCACATAACTAATATTCTTTTTTAATTTCATTTAACATTGTTGTTTTTCCTTTTTTATTTTCAAAGAAAAATTATTATTACATTTATCATTTATATCTTTTCTCTTACCTGTTGGCATATTATTTATATCTCTTTCATACGTATTGGCATGATGGAGATACTTACCAGAAAGTTGAGGGAAGAATTGGATTGCTTCATTTTAAACATGTTATTGGGCGAGACTTTTTAAAACCATTCATATTTGGAGATAGACATAAAAGAAACAATAGTTTTTTTCTGCAGAGTTAGTAGAGTTTGACATTCTATCCCAAGTTTTTTCTGTACAGCTAGGAAAGTTTGACATTCTATATTAAGTTTTTCGTAGTAAAGGTCGTTTGTTCATACAGACTTATTAGAAGACTTGCACTCAAAGTACATCCCACCAAATTTGCAGATAAAATCAACACATTTCTGAAGAATTTTGAATCTAATTATTTTATAAGCTAGTTTAGGTAGAAATTTAAATCATTTATCTAGCTTATGGCTTAGTCTCTCAGTATACAAGCATTTACATATAATCTTATATCCATTTCTTAACATTAATAATGTTAAAATATTATAAAAAATATGTTAACTTTAAATCATTAATATGCTTTAGTTTTCTCTCACATGTCATCACAATACACTATCAAATATCATGCAAAGTCTCATAAACAATTTTCACACGCTAATTACAAATTTTCATATTGATAGCATGTTGAATACATGTTGCTTTATAAATACTAATAACATATATTGAAATAATTAATTAATACAAAAGTTGACAAGCTTCCCTTTTGAAAGTCCTTCCAAAAAGATCATCATTTAGCATGTAATTTATTCACTTCGTAATTAGCATGATTATTAACATAATGCAAAATAGCATGTTCTAACTTCTAAGCTCTCGTGAGCTGGTTCATAAAATTATTTTCACCATTAATGGCCCATTAGAGTTTGAATTCTATTAAATAAAAAAGGAAAAAAATAATAACAACAAAAGCATAGAGACATTGTATTGGTTAATATGTAATATTATGATAACAAGTGAGTCATAAGTTATTATTGTAAATTACGAAAACTTATATATGTATTATGCACAAAAAAGTCTCTGTTTAGGACATTATGATATTAAATATGTTAGATTTATTCATTAGACTGAAATGATATTTTATATAAAAGTATCTAACGGTAATTTAGCATGATCATGATATAATAGCAAAGAACGTCTTGATTAAAGAATTATCAAAATCCAAATACGGACAAAATTCGTGTATGCAAATAATTGGTTAAAGGGTGAAGTAATTTGTGTCTAATTAAAGATGTATTTTCAATACCTAATTTCTAGATCCACTGACTATACAGAGTTTGAAAAGTAGATATTCATTTCATGAATTTTGTGCGTAAGGAAAATAGACTAATGTTTCATTATACAATAAAAATAAAAAATTATATTCAACAACAAAAGCATGAGGAGTTCTGTTGGCATTTCAATGCATGTTTGTATTAATTGAAAGAGTAGAAACTAAAAATAAATGAAACAAATAAAAGTATAATTATGATAATTATACAATAGTGTATTATCAATTTAGTTTTGTAAGAGTGTCCTATGTATTAGGTATAATTTCACCCTATACAGTAATTCTATTATATTGGTTTTGTAATATTTAGAATATTGTATTAGCTAAAAATCATTACAACAATTAATAAAAGAATACACAAATCCATTTATCAACTTTCACAATTATAATATGTTGAATTCGTGTTGCAATTGGTAAATTATGAATCAATTTTCATATTAAGTGTTTTGCAATTTGCATAAGTCATTGCACACCATTACGTAAATATATGCTTTCATCAATTGCTTATTTATAATAATGTAATGTCATTGTTTATTTATTTTTTAAAACAATGTATCCACTTATATATATAGTGCTTGACTACTTTGTTTTAAAAACCAGACTGGACTGGCCAGTTGGACCCGTCCGATCGGGACTCGACAGCTTCTCCGGTCCGGTTCAGGTCTTAGGGGGGTTTTTGTAATATTTCAAAATTATAAGGGTTCACTTGGAATTTTATAGGGTGTTTTAGAGATATGTCAAAAGTTTAGGAGTAATGCTATGCTTACTCACGATCTTACTAACCATCTTACTATCCTTTGTAAATATAACGCATAGTACGGGTACCATTGTACGGGTACCATATGTAATTTTAACAAATGTAATAAGACGGTTAGTAAACTCGTGAGTAAGCATAACATTATTGAAAGTTTAGAGATTAATTGGTAATTTTTTAGGACATTTTTGAAATAAATAAAAATTTTAGGGACTAACTTGAATTTTTTTAGGGAAATTTTTGTAATATATTAAAATTTGAGGAATTAATAGTAATTTTAAAAATAAAATTGTCGCTGACATCATCGGTCTAACCAGTTGGATCGGTTGACTTGTGACCTGGATAGCAAAACGAGTTGCCCTCTGGTTCGGGTTTTAAAACAATGGTTGAGTATATACACTCCAACATTGTTTCCATCCTCACAAATTACAGTGACAAAGGACTGAATCAAATTAATCAAAATAGAAATAATTTGGGTTGGAGTTTATCATTCTCCTTTCACCTCATTTGTTTTAGTTTCTTCTAGTATCTCAGAATAATGCAAATCTTGGCTAGCTTCACTTTTAAAAGTCCTAAAAATCATCCTTTTAAATGATAATAGCAACAATTCCTGATAACCCTGGACTTAACCTGAATAGAATTCTGTGTATAAGCTCAAAACTACATATTTACCTTGTCCTCAGCCACTCTCGGGCCGATTCTTGAACCATAAGATCAAGTGATTCAGTAAAGTTGGAGACTGCTATGAGAGATTGGATCCAACAAGGAAACATTCCATTCAAAGGGTTAGAAAAGAACCATTTATGATAATTATGAACATTTCCTAGTGTTCAAATGAATTAGAGTTCATCAAATTGCCACTAAAGATATAGCAAGAATTTGACAAAGCTTTCCTATGATTCCAACTTCTTAAAGCCAACGGCCTGACAGTGTAAAAATAACACTAAGCATCACGACAGAAATACAAGCTACAAGTACATGATCCCAGGAATCATATTACAAATCATACTAAGAGTAAACCACAATTGTGGATTGTTGATTAAACTTACAGATCAATTTGCTAATTAACTATTACAACTGGTAATCCAAGGATCATTGAACGTCACAATTCCATTCCTTGACCAAACTGTTCAATTGTTTTTGTTGCAAGTGTAAGCACATCCACAAAAGCAGAAAACGATGCACGAAGAAACCTAGCTTCAACTGCCTCAAAGTGCCTGTACAGGTACAAGAAAAAGAAGCAAAATGGGGAGCCTATTAATGCAAGGTCCAGTCCAGGCAAAGTTGATATAGAAATGGAGAATGGCATTCAAATGACTCTTCTAAAACTTAGACATTGAAAATAAGGCAGGAAAGCAGAACAAAAAAGGATTTACTGAACTAGCCACAGAATTTTTTTTCCATTGAAGATTAATTCAAATAATCATTACTATTAACGACTAATAATACTTCTTAGAACAAGACTGAAAAAATACTTATTCAGTGAAGGCTATTCCATCCCAGAAGTATGAAAGAGAAGCTCACACTGAAAGTTTGCCATTAGCAACTGACATCTGCCTTTTTACTTTATCTGGCTGCAACTGCACTTGGAAAAGGAATTGAATAAGAATTTAGCTGAACCATTAAATTAAAATTGATTAATCAAAAGGCTGTCAGAGTGTTCAGATGTGTCACCTCCTTATCAACAGCTAATGCGGCAAAGACCATGGAAGCATTCTCCTCAGACTCATAATCTACTTCAAAGTCACTGCAAATGGGAATCCATTTTGTAATAGCATATAAAGCAAACATTTCCAGTTGAAATCTATTCTATTACAACAAACAAGAAAACATTTCAAGTTCGGTCTCCAAATGAAAATCTCATATGTAAATAATGACCATAACCTTGTGTATACTGTTAGCAATTTCATTTGACCAAATCACTTTAACTTCTTTTTATCAAACTTATTTAATTGGAGTTATCTATTAAACTTTATAATGTTTTTATGAGTTGCTAATAAGGTTTTAAAGGCTAGATTTATGCCATATTTGGTCTAATGGAAAACATAACTCTTATAATATAGAAGAAAGGTTCCAAAAATATTTTGATATAGATAGAACTACTCTCATATATATATATATATATATATATATTTTTTTTTTTTTTTAAATTTACAATCCCTCATATATTCCACGTTCAAGAGATCACATAATTTATCCATGGTACTTTTACAACACTAAATAACTGAAGAGGGAATTAGATCCCAAAAATAACTCACATCTATGTTTAACCTGAAAAACCAAATGGGCCCTAAAGTATTTTTAGCAATCTTAGGGCTTGTTTTGAAAATGAGTAAAAGCATTTGATTGGATAATTCACATTTGTAGGATTATAGTCCCAATAGAATTACTTAGTGCTAAAAAGTTGATGGAATATATATTAGGGGTATCTACATTATATCATTGACATTGAAATATCAAAGTCCATCTAGATGAATATTACTGATCCAAGTGTCATGAGCTAAGCATTTTCCACCAACACAATAAAGCAACCTATTAGGTAATGTAGTTTATTTTTCATCATTGTGGTCTCATATTAGAATAAAAATGAAACAGACATTGGGAGTATAAAGACAAGTAGACAATATCACCTAATATATTAGTTTTTTGGGTAATTGATAAGTGTCCAACTTATGACAAGCGGCATTTTAGTAAACTAATATTCTTATCTACTAAATGAGCTACCTATTTCCATACTAAATGCCTGAAAAGGGTGGTCTAGACAAACAGGGTGAGATTGACCAAGGTTGACTTAGCCTAGCCAAGAATAATGTCGAATGTGACATGGGATTGGCTAGAGGAAATGCCAACATCATGTAATTGGGTGGGGGAGAATATTGCGATCTCATATCGAATAAAAAACAGGTTAGGACTTTGGCTTATAAGAGTAGGGAAATAGCATAACTTAATAGACTAATCTTATGGGTAATTGGTAAACATCCAATCATGAGAAAAGGGCATTTGACACAATAATTTTTGGCGTATGATATAATTCCTTACCCAAGTAATTTATTATGTTTGCTGAAGATGGCAAGACTAAGTAGTTTTAGGTCAAAGATGAATTTTCTACACTAGAGGGAGGTGAGTGTATGTTTCTAAATAGGAAAATTTGTAGAAGAATTTGGTCAAGAAGTGCCATCATATGAAATGGAAAAGGCTGCCCAGAACGAAAATGGATAAGAGCTCTCTTACAGGCAGCCTACAATTAATCACAAATGTGGAATGAGGAGTAGCAATGCTTGAAAACTATCTAGTTTGTCAACAAGACAATGCATAAAACTTGTGTAATGGCGCTCCTTAATCATGTTCTTTTGCAAATTTTCTCATCTCAAACATACACTCACCTCTTGTAGGGAGAAGACCAACTTTGAACCAGAACTATTTGGTTTTGCCTTTTTGAAAAAAAGAAAAACATAACAAGTTGCTTTGAAAGGAATTGTGCTACATATCAACCAATATACTATCAAATCTCCTTTTATCACAAGTTAAACGTTTGCCAACTACCCAAAAGACTAGTCTATTAGATGGTAGTGTCACTGTCTTATAAATCCAAAATCTAACTTATTTTTATCTACTATTGGATTGCAACATCATCCTCCACCCAATCATTTGATAATACCTTCATTACATCCAGTGCTATCTTTAACAAATTTGTCTCACCCTTGGTCAACCTTAACCTACCGATATGGACTCTTTTCAAGTATTTGACATGGAACAAAGGAGTCCACATAGCGGATGAGGACTTGAGTTTGTTTTAATACAACTTATCACAAATCATGTGTTTGACAACTATCCAAAAGACTAACATATTAGGTGAAATTATCTACTTGTCATTAAAACCAAAAATCCAACCTATTTCTAGTTGATGTGAGATCACAATATTTTCTCACCCAATCATGTAACCCCCTTATCACATCTGATGATATTCTCATCATATTCCTTAGCAAACAAATCCTTGAAGTTAATAAAATATATTCATTCAAGCCATTCCACCACGCGAGTTTGTTCCCAAAACTTTTAAAATGCATCCCAAATTTTTTAACACAACTAGCATAACAAAATCACAATATTTTCCATGCAAACTAAAGAGCCTCATTTGGAATTTGACACTATGTAACATATCCTAGGCGATAGAAAGTACACTAAACACCAATATGGATGAGAAATTATCTTTCTTCAATCTCTGAATATCAAACACTAAGAAAAGCTTCCTCAAACACTCACACATGCTTGCAAGAATTAAAAAAAAAAAATCAATAGAACCACAATTTTGAATGTTGTGTAGTAGAATTAGACCCCCATGAGGCTTTTTTTATTTATTCCGCATAATGCAACTAAAAAATGAAGAAGTCTTTCATTTCATTTCTGAAAGGACAGCTCTCTTGCCTTTACAAAGTATAATAATTTGTTTTTAAATGATATAGTCACGCCGTTAATTGGAAATAAAAACAATCTAATCTGAGAAACAAAAGAACCATAATTATTTATATATACAAACACATAACCTAATTTTGATGGGAGAAAGTAATAAGATAGAATGAAATAGAGCAGAATTTTCATAACCCTAAAAAATCAAGTATCAATTTAAACTCTTCACAAAACAAAACACAACATTACAGTTAAAGTAAAATAAAAGCGGGAAGAAAATACAGAAAAATGAAGAAAAAGTAAGCAGAAGGAGGGTAGAGAGAAACTTATAACCAGCTAAATTCCCATTTGGAGGCGTCAGAAGCTGCTGCAGAAGCCATTTCTTCTCTGCTTCAACGGCCCGGTTGGGAACACTATGCAACTGAAGGTAACTGCCAATTCTAGAGAGCAGTAGGGTTTCAAACTTTAAATGTATTAATACGACATCGTATTGTTAAGTTTTGGCCGTTGCGGTTGGATTTTGATTTTTAAGAAATGGGTTCTTGGGTGGGTTTTTGGCTGATTTTTATTTCTTAAAGTTGTTAAAATTTAATTTTTAAGATGTTTTTAATTTTAGAAGCGGATCTAGAAATTTTAATTTAATAGAATAATTCTGGAAATTGAAATGAATTAAATTGGGTTGAATCAAATCATATTAGATAAAGAAATAAAATTATGCAAATAATTTGTTTTCTTCTAAAAAACTGCTATACTTTGTTAATATTATGCCTTTTCATAAAGTACAATACATACTAATTTTTATAAGAATTTAAAAAAATATATATTATTATGATTAATAAAACTTAATGATTGAAAAAAGAAATAGGGTTTCTACTATGACCCGAGAGGTTTATCAAATAATGAAATTTTCTATGAGATTTAAAAAAAAAAAAAAAAGCATAAATTCTAACGCCATTAGTGTACCGTTAAAGAAATTATAACATGATATATTAATAAATATTTATTTAATTGTTTTTTGCCTTTTATTTTAATATAAAAAAATTAATGATAGTGGGATTTTGTTGCTGTATTTCTATAACTAGAATGAATTTTTTGTTATTTAATTATATTTGAGAGTAATTATTGTTACTAACCCAATATTTTTTAATGTCAAATAGTAAGAAAAAGTTATTTGTTTGAAATAAGTTATTTTGAATCTAGCAATGGACTCTGTTAACGAATTTAAAGTTTTAAAAAGTAAAAAATATGCTGATATATGTTTGGGGCTTCCAAAATATTTCGTAATTTTTTTTTTTTTTCAGTATTATGATACTCTTGATATTTTGTAATATCTTAATTATGTTAGTATCTATTTTTATCAATATTAAAATATTCTTGATATTATGTAATCTCTTAATTATATCAATATATTATATATATAATTAGGAGATTCAATGGATTGTATTTAATCTATATAAAGGTTGTAATTTGAAAATCAATTAATTAAAACATATCATTCTTCAGTTAAATATAGTATTAGAGCCACTCTCTGATTTAAAAAATTGCGCAGCCACCGGAAAAATACCAGCGCGTAATCATCCAGTCGCCATCCTGACAACACCAACATCAGTCAACGGAAATCAACAACCAAGCCCAGCCATCACCGACGTCGAAAAAAACCATCATCAATACACAAACCTCCAGTCGAAAAACAACCCAAACAACTCACACAACCAAACCACCACAGCCATTCCCATCTCAATACCACCCGATTATCCCATTTGGAAATCAACTCCAGCCATCAAGTCCATCTATCCAACCAACAAATGAACCCAACCACCAACTGGCCGCTGTGAACCACAAAACACCCAAAAAAAATCCCAATCACCACCATCTTTAGTCGCTGTAAACAACAAATTTTTTTTAGATAATTCCAGCCAATCTAAAGAAAACAATTATGCAGCCATCAATCACCAACCCAGTAAATACCTAGAAAAATACCCAGAAATCAAAACCATCACCAAACCTGTCAATATCAATAACCACAATCACCCTCCGTCAAAACTGCTGAATTCGACCAGAAGAAACCGATGAAATCCGGCAAGAATACTTGTCGTCGATCTTCCTTTACGCGCCAATCACTCTCAAAAAAAAAAAAAAATCTCTCCGTCACCTGAATTTCCAGAAAACTGCCCATATAGCCGACACCAACGCCAACACCGACAAGTCCAACCATCATGCCGATCTGGCTACCATTTGATGCCGATTAGCAGCTTTAGTCCTCACTCAAGTCAAGCAAAGCGCCGTTATAGGAGTCCGCCACTGCTACCGAAAATAGAAGGATGCCAATCATCGCCGACGCCAAGAAAAACCAAGATTTGCTGCTGCTGCTGTGACTGATCTGCCACTGACGACTCCAATCTGCCGTTGTCTCCTTTTGCACCAGAAACCAATTTTGTCCAGAGAAAAAAGTTTTTGTTTCAAACTCTCTCATTCGCGCTTTTTTTTTTTCTTCATTTTTTTTTTGGTTTTTGCTTCTTTAATCCTCAACAAGTCAAAGAAAGTAAAATAAAAAAAAAAAAAAAAAAAAAAGACGTGTGGAGTCGTGGAGAAATTCTACCTAAGAACTCTGGTTCCAAATTTCGTTGAAACTTCAACTATGGTAGCTTAGAATGAGAGTCAACATGCACAGATGAAACCCGACAAGCCCAACAACAATAATAAGAGAAGTTCTATTGTTGCTGTTGTGGAAAAGGAAGAAGATGTCAAACAATCTTCATCATTTGTAACTGCTGTTGGAAATGATGGTAAGTCTTTACATATGTGTATATCTGTTTCTAATAGTACATGGATAATTGATTATGGTGCTACCGATCATATGACATTCGATTCTAGGCATGTTTCTAACCTTAAAACATCCCACAAAAATTTGTTTCTATTGTCAATGGTGAGTCCACTCGAGTCATTGGGGAATGATCATTAACCTTAAAAAATACTTTACACTTAGATTCTGCGTTAGTTATTCTATCCTTAAATTATAACTAGTTGTCAGTCTCCAAAATAACCAAAGCTTTATCTTGTGTAGTGATTTTTTGGCCTAACTTTTGTTTTAAAAGCATTCAAACAAAGTAGACGATTTGTTGTGGTGTTAGAGGGGGTAGTTTTATTACTTGGATTTAGAGTCACAAAGTTCTATCTTGTTAAAATAAGCTTTGACAATAGATTACTCAAAACAGGATAAACAGAATTCTGACAACTGGTTATGGCATCGGTGCCTCAGACATGCTTCGTTTGGTTACTTAAAGAAACCTTGTCTAAGTTTGTTTTAAAAAAATGATATCAGTAACTTCCTGTGTGGCGTTTGTGAACTATCAAAATGCCATCAAGTTCCATTTCCAACAACATTCAACAAAAGTCCAAGTCCTTTTATGCTTATACATTCAGATATCTGGGGGCTATTACAAGTTACTACTTTAGGTGGATTTCGTTGGTTTGTTACTTATATTGATGACTATACAAAGATGACTTGGGTATGTCTAATGAAATCTAAAAGGGAGGTTAATTTTCTCTTTTAGAAATTTCACAAAATGGTTTGTACGCAGTATAATGCACAAGTTCAGGTCCTACAAAGTGATAATGGAGGAGAATATCAAACTTCGAATCTTCAATAGTACTTGGCAATACATGGTATCATTCATCAGACAAATTGTCCCAACACACCCTAAAAAATGATGTTGCTGAGCAAAAAAATCAGCACATATTGGAGGTCGTTCATGCATCATTAATAGAAGCTCACATGCCGTTATCCTTTTGCGGAGAAGCACTTACTTATGAAGTCTACCTAATCAATCGGTTACCCTCTAGTTCTATTAGGTTTGACACACCCTTTTAGGCTCTTGGTAAATCAATGAATGCTCCACTGCCATATATTTTTGCCTGTATCGCCTTTGTTCACCTCCATAAACATCAACGCAACAAGTTGTCCCTTCGTGCATTGAAATGTGTTTTCGTTGTGTATGGTTTTCATCAAAAGGGGTATCGATGTTATTATCCTCCAACTCAACAAACGTTTGTGACGATGGATGTTGTTTTCCATGAAGAATTAATGTATTTTTCTTATGAGTCTGAACTTCAGGGGGAGTATTGTTAAGAAGAAATTCAGACTCTTGACTATGCTGTTTAAGATGATGTTCAAGATGTGGGAGACTATGAGTCACAAACTAGACCTATTGTTCGACAAGAAGATGAAATGGATGATGAAAATGTGGAGGTGGTATCAAGCCCGTCCGTAAAAGCTTCTCAGTCCAAGTCTCTCATTCCTAGTATGTCATAACTCACAACCATCGTTTGTTGAGAATGTTCTTGATTTAAAGTCTAAACCAATTGAGTCTAAACCAATTAGGAAACAGTTACCACCACATAGTACTAGAGGGATTCCCAAACCAACATACGAACCCAAAGCTATCTAGTAAGGTCAAATATCCCATGAGTCATTATGTGTCTAACCATCATTTGTCAGAATCGAATATGTCATTTGTGAATCAATTATATACTGTATCTATTCCTAACAGTGTGCAGGAAGTCTTATCTGATCCAAAATGGAAAGTTGCTGTGAATGAGGAAATGAAATTGTTGTAGAAGAATGAGACTTGGAAACTTGTTGATCATCCACCAGGAAAGAAGACTGTTGGATGTCGATGGGTTTACACTATAAAGTATAAAGCTAATGGTACACTTGAGAGATTTAAAGCTAGACCAGTAGCAAAAGGGTACCCTCAAACCCATGGGATAGACTATACAAAGACATTTGCACCCGTAGCTAAAATTAACAAAGTACATATTTGATTATCTTTAGCTGCAAACGTTGATTGGCCATTACAACAATTTGATGTAAATAGTATTTTCCTACATGGAGAATTGTCAGAAGAGATATATAGGGATCCTCCATGAGGGTGTATTTCACCAGAAAAACATAGCCAAAAGGTATGTAAGTTAAAGAAATATCTATATGGGTTGAAGCAATCTCCAAAGGCATGGTTTGGGAGGTTTACAAAAGCTATGAAGTCTTTTGGCTATCATCAGAGCAATTCGGATCACACATTATTCCTAAAGAAATTCCAAGGAAAGATCACTGCACTTATTGTATATGTGGATGATATGGTGGTCACTGGAAATGATCCAGAAGAAAGAAAGGCTCTACAAAAATAAATTTCAAAAGAATTCGAAATGAAAGACCTAGGTTTTTTGAAATATTTTCTTAGAGTCAAAGTGTCTTGATCTAACAAATGTATCTTTCTATCACAAAGAAAGTATACCTTAGATGTTTTGCAGGAAACTAGTATGTCAACATGTTAACCAGCAGATACACCAATTGAAGAATGTTTGAAATTATGTATCAAAATTGATCAAGTACCAGTTGACAAAGGGAGATATCAGAGACTTGTGGGAAGATTGATGTTTTTGTCATACATTAGGCCAAATCTTGCCTATGCATT